ATTTATAATTCCGATTTGAATTGGAATGATATATTATATTTGAAATACAAAGGGTAGCATTTTAAAGCAATGTTCATACAATCTAAAAAATATTTTCATAGTCAAACAACTGTTTTACTTGCATATGCAAAATTTTTCAAACACCCTGCGTATACAATATTTCTCAAAAATATTAATTCATTATTTATTTTTGAGACATACAAAATTTGACCCAACATTTTTGTCTTGCAGTGTAGTTTTTTTCGTTTCGTATGTTAAAAAGTGTGTAATTGTCAAACAGAAACAATCCACACCCAAGTTTAAATTTGTAAAAATAACAAGATTTTTGGTATTTTTGCAATAATTATACAAAAATCTACTTCGTTTTTGTCTAATAATGTTTAAATTTGAAGAGTTCAGCTCGTAATTATGAAACCATAAATGCTTTTTATAATCTGCTTTCATATTCTCAAGTATTTGCGTTTGTGTTGTTTTGTTCGGTATTTTTTTAATAATTGCAGTTCTAAAAGATTGCGTTGCTTCTTAAATGTCGAGTATTCGGTCTGTTTAAACGATAAAATAATTTAAAGTAATGCTTGGAAGTATGTACGCCACGGATAAACACACAAACCTAAATATTTGCAGTACGAGTATTATTGTAGAAGATATTTCTTCTCATAAGTTATAAAAGCAAAAAGCAAAAAAAAAAACTCATTCACTGCTTCAAACCTACAGTGGAAATACTGAAACTGAATTACAAATTTTACTCGTATTTAATATAATAAATTGTAGCAGTTATTAAGTAGTGAATAGATAGATAGATGCAAGTTGTAATTTTCAAGTGCGCTAAAACGTTGATCGGTGCTCATAACCATTGTAAAATTTTTATCTACCTACTCTCGATGACTAAAGACTGTGTCCGCTCTGTTGTGAATGAATAAAACAGAAATGTAAATGGCTAAGCCAGCCACCTACTAATCGTTTGACTGGTTTTGGCTAAAACAACAATTTCAATGGAATATTCGTATAAAAAAAAAACCAAAACACCAAAAAATAAATATATAATTTTGCTATATAAATATTCCATTTATTTATTTAATCGCTATTAATATTTTTCAATATCACGTATCAATATCAATATACATATATACATTTTGTTATTGTTTATTTACGAGTATGTAAAGTATTAACCTATTTAAGGTCCTAAAAACTTCAAGAGAGCCAATAAAATATGTTAAATATATTTTTTATATTAAAATATATTTTTAATGCTGACCTAGCATCAGTTTTATATAGAATACAGAATATATTTTTAATATTATTTGTTAAAAAATAATTTTTTTTTCATTTTTTAGCCTAAAACTTCTTCGTTTGTATTTTTAAACATCTAAGGGTAGTGTAAAAATAACAGATTTTAATAACCAAATTAAACCCATAATTACCTATAAAATAATAGTAATAATAGTTTTTAAAGTATTTAAGATGCTTTCTAATAAAATTGCAAAATCATTACCAAAATACAGAATTGCAGAGAGAAAAAGACCCTAAATATCTCAAAAATTGTCAATTCCAATAATATAAGTTATGTATGACTTTTTAGTGAATTAAATATTCTTAATTGCAATGGGAACTTTGGAACATCTGCTGTGTAAGTGCCCGAGAACTTGAGGGGCTGTTAGTTTTAGAACTCTTAATACAATTCGCTAATAACACGCACATCCTGAGTGCAGCATACTATCGGTAGAAATAACACTCTGATTTGATATCGCAATGGACCCTAATGGCCTATGCGTGGTCTTTTTGGCCTGTCAACATAACCTAACATAAAGTTATGCCTAATATATCCTTAAACTTAGATGGGGTAGGAAATAATGATGATCAATGTGGGTTTTTTTTGAAAAATGTAATTTTTGTAGAAAATCTAATAGATATCCATATAAGTAAATTAATTGAAATATATATAAACTATATACATATATATTAAACATTAGTCTGTGGGTTTCGCTGCACAAAAAATGACTATAAATAAAAATAATGTGTTATATATGTCCAAAATATGCTATACTGTAAGTAAATTATACAATACCCATTCCAAGTGAAACAGGAGTTTTTATAAATAAGAACAACAAATAGTGTTCAAGTGTTTTGGATGGCATCTCATCCAAAAAAACTGGCTTCCTTTTATTGACAACTGCATTTTTCTTAAAAAATACAAGTCACACGTTGTTAAATTAGTTAAATATGTACCGTATATGGTTGACTATAATTGGCACACTTTGATGGAACCAGCAGTGATAACGACATATTCTGTTGGCCAATATGTGCTTAACATTTATGTCCTCGGTTCCGTTTTTAAATGTGGTGTACTATTTATGAGTGTAAACTTTTGTTTGGAATAAACAATCATCTTCTAAAGTTTAGTTCTTTAATTGAAACGTTTTGGCGAAACCTTATACGTATATTACGTCTAGTCATAAGGTCATAATTGTGACAGCACATAAGTGAACGATTAACCTTGTGGCAATTAAATCATCTAACATGTTAACTGCCTATGAATGACCTATAATTACATATTTATAATTAAAAAATTCTAATTATTCTATTCTATTTATTCTAAATTCTATTTAAATTCTAAATTCTATTTATATTTATTTCACTGACTTTACCATACGTAAAAACTGAACTGTATGAGTATTATTAAACAAGTGTATTGACATTTAAAGTTATCCCAATAGATTTTATGACTCTATCGCAATTTACCCCAATACATTATTCTTGTGTTTTATTCATATTATTTATGACTAGCCAAATGATCCAAATTTTAGTAGTTTTCAGACTCATTATTATTTAAAGTTTAATAAATGTTAATGTTCCAAAATAATGAGTCATTATGTATTAGGATACTGAACTTAACTACGAGTATTATTACTCCGTAAGATTGTTTTGAATGAACATATATTAAAGTTGGATGACCTAAATAGATATTATTAAAATATGAAATGAATGGCGACTATATTTAAAATGTACAGTTAATATTTTTAAATATTTTCATAAAATTAAAAATATAATATATAGTATATTCAGCGTAAAGCATCTACTACATATTCTTCGAACATCTAATATGTTAGGTTAGTATAAAAAAAATTAAACTTTTCAAAAGAATTATCTCTAAATTTTGTCTCTTGTTATCAATATACAAAGCATAATTACAATTGTTTGAAATTATATCTACAAATATTTTCAATGATAGTAAAAGGGATCATCGCCTTTAAAATTTCCATAAATAATCATTATAACTTATCGTTAAAGAGTCGTTGTTATATTAACATAATCCCTTTTGCCCGCATTATTAAAGTACCTGTTTTGACAATGAATAAATTTCGCTTTAAACGCCAGATATTTGATCCTTAAACAAAAGAGAAAAAAAACCAGAATAATAGATCAGCGAGAAATAGTGAAATTTTCACTTGAATCTAAACATTCTTTAACCTATGTATTTAGTTTGATTTTAACTTCCCAATGTTAAATATCACATTTACAGAAAATTTAAAAAAAATTGATTACATATTTTGTTTAAAGACTGCATAGTGTTAAAAGTATTTGAAATAAATTATATTTTTAATTATTGTTTAATTTGTGTTCCATCAGCAACATAAACAATTAACATATTATTTCCGGAATTGTGATGTGTCTAAATTCGATAAGCATTTTTTCCATTTTTTTTATGAAGGTATGTTTTCATATCACAGTTTATTATTATATTATGGCTTCCAGAAGGAACATTTCTCAGATATGATAAATGATCCCTTTTAGCCATTAAAAATATATGTATGGGTCATATATTTCAGTAAGTCTCAAGGCTGACCATCAGACAACGCCTGTTCAAAATATATGATTCTGAGAAAGTGGCATTTTATAAACTATACTTGTCAAAATTTCATAACATTTTTACCAGTAATTATTGAGCGTCGTTACTTCTGGTATTAACAAAGCAATGCAATTATTAAAAATAGTATATACGTATATGGGTGCGTAATGAAAAATTGGTAAACAAAGCTGAAAAGGTCAAAATACATTCTACAAATCGCTGTTTAATGGAAACAATATCGAACCTATTTTAAAGTTTATAATTTTCTTGAGGAAGGCACAGGATGACCTACCTCGAATTCTAAGAAGTAGGCAAATTTTAATACCCCTAACTTTATGGTGAAAAGTAGATATTGTTGTATTATAAACGGGATGCTCCTCAAACAGCAAAACTGATGTTAAAGACATGATACTAGTGAAATTATAATCTACTATTGCCAGACTAAACAATTGAATCAAATTTCTATTTCTCAAACCTATTTTTTAAGTTGAAAGGAAAAAAATTTGAATATAAGTGATTAGAATCAATCAACAAGAAACAAACACATACCTGCTTGTGTAGTCTCTTTCGAGAACGGCAATTCGTCCTCGAATTCGATGAGTGACCCATTTGTTTTCTGGCACTAATGCACACACAAATTTGTGTTCATCGGTCTTTGGACCTCTCCCTTTAAAGTTGGTTGACTTTAATTTAAATTCAATCCACCCCCAATGTATTCTTAATTCTAAACAATTCCCTCCCAATTTTGTTCCCTTTTACAATTTTGTTTCCTAATGATAATGCTACACCGACATTCGCTCATTTCTTTTCTAATCTACCAAAAACTGTATAGTTTTGTTTTTGTATCATTAGATTATCAAATGCTCCGATCATGACAATACTGTCTGAATAACGTTAATAAAATTTTCCTCAAAAGAGGATTGAGATATATCTGAGTCAGTCATAGATGAAACTACGGAATTATACAATAGGGGAATAATAATTATTGTCAATAATAAATGGTTGAGAAAATTAGCCATAACGTCTAACGCATCTTGCCCAGCTCAATGTATAAATAAATTTGATATAATTTCGATTATATAGCATTCTTTTACTACCATACTATTTTAAAAAATAAATAATAATTATATATAAATATATTTTATTTCAGGCCCGTCAACGTGCTTCCGTAAAATGGCTTCTTTCAAAAGCTTTCAACAATCAGACTCCAGATAACCTCAAAGAACCTTTCTATAGAGATCATGAAAATCAAGAACGACTTAAGCCACAAATCATTGTTGAGCTTGGCAATGCTACCCTGTATTGTCAAGCGTTGTCTAATTTGTATTCAGATCCAAATTACCAAAGCTTAAACCATTGGTCGATTTTGCAAACTTTGTCA